ATGTCTTTTTTTTTAAGTCTCTCCAATAAACCTATTCTGCGGTTGGTCCTAATTTTTTTTAAAAACGATTCTATTTGTTATCCTAACAGATGCAAAAATAAGCGCGGGCCAGCGATGGGTGGGATAAAACATTAGTTGACTTAAAGCTCGACTCTCTAAAATATCTTCAGGCATAGTTTTGTAATTAAAGAGTAGGGGAAATATACTAACGCCAAGGAGATGGACTTATTTATTATCATAACAGTCACGTGGTGTGTTGTGCATAAAGTTTTTTTTTGTGTAGGTGAGACCTAAAATAACTTCTCTACTCGATATGATCTCAACATCAAAATATGAATGCAAGTGAATATGTAATTTTACACAAGATGTAATATATTTAGGCAAGTTTTATTTCGTAAATACAATATTAACTTTCAAAATATTAACCAACTTCTTATCTATCTATCTATCTATATATCTATCTATCTATACACACATAAGTCTATCCATTTCTATCTATATCTATCTATCTATCTATCTATCTTCCACAGTCTGTTTATAATTGGACTTATGACGATTCCTTGTTCTTAGCATTTAATTAAACCTGCCACCCCGATTGCCACTCTGTTAACCCCAAATTTTGACATAAACCTATTGAGCAGTCCAATTACATCAATCCGAAATAAATAAAAAAAAATTAAGTTGTAAATACCGTGTATTTGAGGAAAATGATTCAGTACAGATTTGCTATTGCAGGTAAAAAAAAAAAAAAAAAAGAAAAACGTTAAAAATTAATTTGATTCAAGCAAGAAACTTCTTTGTTCATCGCCCTTAATTAAACCTCTATTAATGAAGGGCTGCTGATTAAATCCATTCATAGGATGCTGATCTCGAATGCTAATACCCGTAGGGTAGCAACGGGTGGTGTAGGCAGTTATTTTGGGGCAACAAAGGCCTGTGTAAATTGAAGTTTTATCAGCGAGTATGTATCTCAGTTCTCAGTTGATCAAACGCTTAGCCAAACGTCTCTACCTTGCAATCTATTATTTTCAGAAAGACGACCTCTCCACCTCAGTCCGTTATTTGCCTTAAGAGAAAAAGAAAAGAAAAAAATGGCAAAAATGAAGAAAAGAAATAAAAATAAAAAACGGTGTCAGCAGGTTTGTTTTATTTTGTGAACGCTATTTAAAATGTAGCCATCCACCATCCAGACTGCTTGGGTTTCCTGTCGTCCGACCTGACTCGTCTTGACCTGGTCCGGTCAGAAATTGACAAGCGCGAGGGGCGTGAGGATGTCGGTGATGTAGAATGTTAGATGGTTATGTAGGGGGGGGATTGTGACTTTGGGAGTGGAGGTATTGGACGTAGCGGTCGGGGCAACTTGAACAAGGGGGGCAGCAGAAGCGAATGAATGAATCCTGTGTGAAGGGCGGGCTAAGATTAATAATAGGCCCGACGTGCAAATCCCGAATTTAGGAGTTCGGTCTCGTCTGTCTTTACTGCCTTTCTTTCTTCAGGAAATTAGAAAAAGATAAAGAGGAAGAAGACCTTTTTGTATTTTGGAATGCAAACTGATCTCCCAGTCCAGGATAGAAAGTCAGTTGATCGTAGTTAAAATGTGAACTGAATAGTTATAAATCATATAGATGTTAGTAGTGCCCACAATTAATAGAAAACTTGGAAAAATTCCGAAGAGCCTTGTCAATAATTTGGAAGAATTGGAAATCCGAGGAAAAAATCAAATTATCGGCTCCCCTTAGAAAGGTGGGGGGGATATAAAAGTGATTCCTTTAAAAGGGGAGGGTGATGAAGCAATCTCTTTAAGCGGGAAGGATATTAAGGTGATCGCTTTAAGAGAGGGAGGATGTTATGTTTGATTGATTCCTTTAAAAAGTGTTTAGTTTTGAAGTGAGACCTTTAAGAGTAAGGGGCGTTAAAATAAATTTTAAAGTGAATCCTTAAAGGAGGACATTACAGGGAACGCTTTCAGAAAGATAGATATTAACGGGATCCTTTTCATGAAATGTATGAAAGCTGCCCCTCCCCCGCCTCTTAAAGGAATCGTTTTAACATTCCCTCCTCTCCAAAGGATCACTATTTTTTCCATTGTCCCCCTGGACTGGTTTAGGTGAGAGGATGTCTAAAATGAAGATCAGATAGTTCCCAGACTGAACGTGAGTTGATTTGTTCATTTTGTTTAATGGCATATTAACACCTATATGGGTTATTTGAAGAAGGCAACGAGAAGCCATACCACTGTATTTCCCAAGTAGTCATGGCGATTCACTGATTATAAAAAGAAACTGTGGAGGGCCGTGATTGCCTATGCTCTGAAGGGAACATAATATTGTAGTTCTTTTTAAATCTAGTGTATGGATTTTAAGATAGAAGCCATATCTTGCAACAGGTTCCAAGTCGTCTTTCTATTTGTAGAAGGATAAAACGGTTTAAAAAAAAATAAATGACCTTAGAAATTATATAGACTGGAATAATAGATCAGAAAGTCGAGTTTGACTTCTAGTCAAGTTTGCTAAAGTCACTTAAGCGGAAACACCTCTGGGAAAGGTGTGAATCCATTTCTCCCCACGCTATGGATTAAATAACAGAGTAAACTGAGTTCTCTAGCCGTTGTTGGCAACCGGTCTTGATGAAGGATAATTTTGAATCCAAATTCATAACAACCAAATCACGAGTTAGCTTTTGGCAAGGCACCTCCTTCGAGACTTACGGTGAAAACTTCGGTTGCAGGTTTGTAAGCGTTCTGAAAGCAAAGGAAATATTTGTCGCAGAGAATAAATTACTGTAAGTTCAGACTCGAATATCGGAAGCAGAAAAAACTGCTCGGCCGATAAAAGCAGTTGTTCTCGAATCGAGAGGAAAAAATTGATGTATTTTGGCTACCGCGTTCGTCGGAGAGTGAGTTATTTTTCTGACTGGTTACGTGCATTGGGATTTGTGAGATAGTACCTGTGAATCGAGTTTTCAGCATTTCTTTCTGCCCCCGATATTCGAGTCTGAACTTACAGTGATTTATTCTCTGCGTTGTGGAATTAATCTGCGACAAACATTTCTTTTGCTTTCAAAACGCTTACAATCTATTTCGCCACTATGACGGACATGACATTTGACGTCAAGTTGATACCAGAGTTTGATGGTTCAGTGACTGGACAAGCAATTACTGAATGGACTGAGAAGGCAGAACTTGTTTGTGACCTGTGTGGAATTAAAAATTAAATTACGGTTTGACGAGGTGAGTCGCCGTTTTCTTCGCTATAAGGATTGTTAGATTTAACAGGCTACATTGGCATTGAATTGCAATTGTGTCCTGTAAAAAGACCCTTCATAATGGTCAATGGATAATTCTGTGAGAAATGGTAATCGCGAAGCACAGTAGCACCATATGGTTCCTAATATCTGCGCAACCGAAACATCTATGGTGAAACAAGTAAAGAACATCAGGAAGATTCTTATGGACTCTCCCCGTGAAGACTACCAAAAATAGATATATTTCACGCTGTTTTTATTAACCCGAGAAACGCCAGATAACCTTGTTCATAAATCATATACTTACTTCAAATCTGATATATACTGTCGGCACCCGCTCGCATCCGAGCATCGGTACCGTCACCCACTTTCGCCATTCCCTTTCTGCTCTCTGGTGGCGATGGTGGAGACGGCTGTGAATCAGAGAGAAAGAGAGAGAGAGAGAGAGTGAGAGTTTGCCGCGAAACATGACGGAGAAGCCCACACACTTGGCCAGAAACGCATCTCCCCCCTGCATCTCCCCCCTCGCATCTCAAAAAGGGGATTTAGGCAGGTGAGATCTGGCAAAGCTGGTTGCATCGGGCTGTCAGATGCTTGGTCAGTCAAGGTCGATCTTTGCCCATTTCGTTTAGTCATGATTAGTCTGCTACTTCCTCTTCGAACTTACCGCCATGGGTGGCCGTGGATGAGTTGGAACTCCAGATGGCTTCGCTCCTGGAATCACTGGGACAAATAAACCCTGAATCGTGACAAGGAACGACCATATATACGTATTTTACAAGGGATATCAGAATGAACAGTTCGTAATCAAATGCATCACTTTGGCTTACTGATATATATATATATACACTATATATATATATATATATATATATATATATATATATATATATATATATATATATAAAGGCAGGATGTGATGTATTAATGAATGCACCCGCAATTTTCGACGGATTTGCACCAAAATTTACATGCACATGCTCCAAGTTAGCAGGAAAGGCCAAGACCGACATTGCATTTCCCCAACTCCCATCGATAGTGGAAATAATCGATTTTTCATGCTTCTACGGCAGTTTTCATGTGGTTGCGGCCATTTTGTACTGGCCAGAGTGAGAGCCTGTAGCTGGCTGCCACGAATAGGTAGGAAGATTCTATTGGCCAGTGTGAGAGCCAACAGATGACCGACATGAATGTTAACTAGCATGCTAGCATGCAAAAAAATCGATAGCTGCATTCGTCATAAGTGGGAAAATTTAAATCTGCATGGCACTTACTCCAATTGTCTCATTCGCTTGCTTAAACTCAACGTTGATTCTGATTCCGCAGAACTGGGTTGGTGTGAAGAATTATTTGTTGTTAACATTCTTTTTCATTTGGTTTTTTCCAGTTACGAGTCCTTTTTAAAGCTGATCGTTTTGTGTTCATTTTGTTTAGCTCTTTTTCGTAACAGATTTAATGTTTAGTATAGAGCTTAGAAAAAATTCGCAGTGTGAGATAGGCAAGTAAGGCGTGTAGCAACATCAGCACGGCAAAGGGCACTCCTTTAAAGGCAAGGAAGGGCAAAAATATTTTAAGTCAAGTGATAGCGATTGCTGTATGAGTCGTACGATTTTTGAATCATGCACGGGCAACACCGGGCCATGCTGTTAGTATATATATATACTGGCGATATCAAACCCAAAACTCATAAAGTTGGTACACCATTGAAACCTATTCAATCCATGATTGGCTCTTCTCAACATGGTGTGGCTAAATGGCTTTCCACTATACTGCAACCGGTTTTGGAGCAGTATAACTCCGCTTGTATTAAAGATTCATATATATATATATATATATATATATATATATATAAGTTGAAATGATGATCCCTCTTGATGTTGTGACTTCCTGATCTAGTTACCCTCTCTACTGTTTCCTCTTTTTTAAATTCACCGTTCTCTTGATGGTTCTTGAATGGACTTTTGAATATGGAAGCCAGAGTATGAATGGTGGTACCATTACTGAAGGTCTGAATGATCTTTTTCCTCGTACCATTGCCCATTGTTGACACAAAACGATTTTAACCTGTTCTCTTTCTAGCTGAATAACGCAAAAGGTTTTGAAGTTGGCTAAAAGTCTTATCTGAAAGCCTGGAAGAAAGAAACCCAATTAGTTTAGTGTTTGGGGGGGGATATTAACATTTTGTGGGATGGACAATTATACTGTTCCATGATTTGGACAATTTTGCTGTTAGACCCAGTGTGTGTGTGTGTGTGTGTGTGTGTATATATATATATATATATATATATTCTTCCCTTTTCTACTCCTTCGCCCTTTCTTCTTTTCTTTTCACTCATTCATCCACCCCTCTTCTTTTCCCCTCCAGTCTTTCTCCTCCTTATGTTCTTCTTCTTTCCCCTCCCCTTCTTTTTTTCTTCTTCTTCTTCTTCTTCTTCTTCTTCTTCTTCTTCTTCTTCTTCTTCTTTCCCTCCTCCTCCTCCTCCTTCAATCTGACCTTGATCTCTGTTTTGCCTCTGCATTTCTTCAATTTACCTATGGAGTTGGCAGACTTGCCACCCCCCCACATCCATATCACCCAACATACCCACCCCACCCTTTCCATTCCCCACACTGAGACACAAAACACGTGCCTCTACCCACACGCCCCTATAGGTGTATATAAATAACCTCACTTATAAATAAATACTTCGTTACTCATACTTTATTGGTGAGATGGAGGCGGGGGGAGCGACGCCTGCCATGAAGCTAAAGCGAATAGTCTTATTTTGCAGACCATTCATCAGTTTGATCCTCACTAGGTGGCCAAATATTTTAGCCTCTTGCAAGAGTAAGCTAAACTTCATTATTATAATCCCGTAAGTTCGTAACCAGTAAAAGAAAAAGTCAATTCAAAAGATTTATCTTATCCGACTTTAATTCTAATTGCTAGAAACGTTATTTTTTTTTTGGGGGGGCACGTACTTGATTTGCTACCTTTGTTTATTTTTATTTTATTTTATTATAGAATGTAATTGTGTCTAGAGCACGACAAGTTTTGAATTAGGTATTTAAGGGCGGAGTTGGTAAATGCTCAAAGTGTTGTTTTCCTGATAGATTAAAGGGATGCGAGTTCGATTCCTGCTAGAAGCACAATTTTCCTTTTGTAGGACTTCTCAATTTAGGCCGGATGTTATTATTTTCCCTGTTTAATAAAATTGGAATTTCGTGGGTAACCCCCTGACGCTTGCAGGATTTAATATTGTATAAGTTATGGCTAACATTTTTGTCTAGATTAACAAACTCCACGTTTTGTTCAAATCAATCGTTTAAATTTAATTTCATGGGTCTTCATAGTAAACGATATTTTTTAATTTGATTTAAATCGCTCAATGGATGGGCTATTTTTGGAGGGTGTGAGAGTTGGACGGACGGACTGATGGAAGTCACAGAACCTTATATATAGATTAAAAATCAGGAATAACGCATTTACAACCTAAAATAATGTTTACAATGTTTATAGTAATAATAATGGTAAATTCAGGAAGTGTCTGCTTATTGACATAGCAGTACCATCTAAGAGAAACACCTCCATAAAAATTATTGAGAAATTGTTCAAATACAAGGACCTGGAGATCGAGATTAACAGGATGTGAGGAATGAAGACTGAGACTGTACCAATAGTAATCGGAGCACTGGGCCTCGTGAAGGAAAAATTTTACTAACAGTGTCCCAGATAACATCAACATACAAGCTGCCCAGAAGATCGCCCTACTAGGAACATCCCAAAGACTCATAAAAGTGGTATCAATTGAATTCTCCTTTGGACCCGGCTCTACAGGATATAAAGCAGGAAACATAGCATGCAGAAATAATAATAATAATAATAATAATAATAATATATGGTGGACTCTCCTGTCGTATCCAACGTATGAGGGTCAGGCAGATCAATTCTTAGAAATCAACAGCCCAGGCACCAGCACAAATGATTTGATTATATTGATGAAGCTTTATGCAGAACCAACCTCACTTTTGAACAGCCGAATACAGAGATCTGGTGCTCTACTCTCTCTCTCTTTCTTTCTCTCTCTCTCTCTCTCTCTCTCTCTCTCTCTCTCTATATATATATAATATATATATATATATATATATATATATATATATATATATATATATATATATATATATAATATATATATATATATATATATATATATATATATATATATATATATATATATATATATATATATATATATATATATATATATAATAATTATCAGGACCCATATCTATGTATGTATATATATATATATATATATATATATATATATATATATATATATATATATATATATATTACTAGGGTGTCCCAAAAAACTTGACATTATTTTAAAAGCAATTGTCTTGAAAGCTACTAAGTCTAACTCAAATAAAATTGAACAGTTTAGATGTTGAACATCGTGAGTTTATTATGGGACCGATTTCGCAAGTGTTCAATATGTGCACCGCCTGTGAAAACTGCACACGTCAAGTCAGTAGTTAAGCTCTTGCCAAACACGCTGTAGCATGTCTTGAGTAACATTATCCAGTACGGAAGTGATTCTCTGCCTAAGTACATCAGTGCTAGCAGGAAGAGGGGGCGGGGAAGACCAGTTCCTTCACATATCGCCATAAAAAGAAATCACACGGGGACAGGTTCGGTGACCGCGGCGGCCATTTCATCAGAAAACTGTCTTCATCTCCACAACGCCCGATCCATCTCACCGAGAGAACAAAATTTAAACTTTAAATGTAAATTCTTGATCTGTTTCTATACATTCTGTGAAAATTTGAGGTTATTTCAACAAGAATTGCCAAAATGATAGCAAATATTTGGGGGACACCCTGTATATATATATATATATATATATATATATATATATATGTGTAATGTTTATACATTCTTTCTATATATATATATATATATATATATATATATATATATATATATATATATATATATATATATGTACGTATTGCTGAAGCAAAAGTATGATCGTCTCCAGCAAACCCTCGTCATATGACTTTGATATCAAATATGGTTTCAGGACTAAAACGTTATTGTGTTTAAACAAGGGAACCCCAGCCATACCTCACATGTTCAGTCTTATTAGTCTGTAAAGTTGAAAATAATAATCGTCAGACTTCCTGGTTTAATATCAGTACTTAAACTCGATACTTAAATTCAGAATAACATGTTGCAGGCCAGAGAGCGTACAGGTCAAAACGGTGATCTAATCAACAAATATTTACGTTGCTGACATAACTAATTTATAGATTAATGACACCTGTTTATTTAGAAAGGTCGGAAAACTCAAGAAAGGTTGGAGAGCTGGCCGACCCAAAGATCACAAAGACATGGATATTCGTATGAATAATATATAAAGGACATTATTTGCTTCAGATGTTTGAGGACGCTGAGAAAGATTGAAGAACCAGTTCGCCGAGAGGTGATGGAAGCAACTAAAATGAGGATAGATATATATATAAAATTCAGTGACTTCTGTTAGTCCGTCCATCCGTCACACCCTCGAAAATAGCCATAGATTGACCGATCGAAACCAAATTTTTGGGAGAAGTGTAAACTGATAAGGGGTTACAATTGGTTTTACTAGGGCGCGTAGCGTAGCACAATAAATTGTCATTAATTTAAAAAAAAATGAATTAAAATTTTAAAAAATTGGTTTGAGAAATTGAACGAAAGGTAGAGTTTGTAAATCTTGACAAAAATGTTAGCGATGACTTCAACAATTACCAAATCCTGTGAAAATTTCAACAGGCGTCAACAAAAAAATTCTATTATAAAGGAAAGGTTGTTTGTCTGTCCGTCACATACTGTCTACGTGTGACTTTGTTTGAACAGGGCCAGCGATAAGGTCTCGCTCCCCAAATTTCCCAACCTGGGGGCCACAAACCCTGGGTGGAAAGAGCATTTTTTTTTTTTTGAGATTTTTCTTGTTAAAATTTTGAAGAATTTTAACATATTCAAGATTATGGGTAAAAAATAGTGAATTTTATATAATGTTAACATAAGCAAAACAAATTCGCGGATTTTGATAAAAAAAAATTCCAAAACTCCAGAATTATGTAAAAATCCACTAAAAATTTTCATCATTTAATATTTAGTTTGCTTAGTTTAATTTGTAATTATAAAAATGTAGATTAAAAAAAAAAAAGAAGCAAATGTTGATAAGATAGCGGAAATCACAAAGCCTTGCCCCCCCCCCAATCAAGCTTGCCTACACCCCACACACCGGCGGCACTGATTAATTTTCCTATGAAAATGATGAAATTATTTTTTGCAGAAAGGTATAAAAGTGTCTACAGTTATATTTAGCTAGTTACCTTAGCCCCGACCCTATGTTACCGGCTGACTCCCAAACTTTCATTCTGTGTCTCTGTCAGAGCTTCTAACTAAAGACTTGAGAGACGGGTTAAGATTTCGTCCCGCGACTTTTTACTCAACTCAAGCCATGCTGACGAGTCTGAAATCAGGGAGGAAATGAAAATCGAGGAAGACGGTAGGACACCACCGTCGTCTGTCTGACCGCTTGTGTTTTACGACGACAGCGGCCTCCTTTCTTTCACTGTCGACCCCATTTCTAGAAAGAAATAATGTGTTCCTAAGACGTAAGGAGTATTGGGACGTCCATTTTTTTCCCCTACCCTTCAGACAAGTATTGGGTATTTTCTCTGTTCTCTGGCCCCCCGGGGCCCCCCGGGGAAAGGTCCACTGTATAAAATAGTCGGTTCTCGGTATTGTCAACATATCTCGTGAAAAGGTGCATTTCCGCAAATATCTTTACTCCCATAAAAATATCTCTAGAATACTTCCTAAATATAGTTTTCTTTTCTTTTCTTTTCTTTTTTTTTTTTCTGTAACCTTTTTTTTTTCAGAGAGTGGGCGGTTATGCCTCTCCACAACTTCCCTTTTTTGTTGCTCTATTTTATTATTCCTATTTGCTTTTGTTCGTCCGTCTCTTTACTCAGACTAGTTAAGCACCTTACTCTGCGTTTCTTTTGTTTTTAATATATCATGTGAGTGTTTAATTCTCTACGCCTTCTTTTCTGTTTCTTTTTTTCTCTCTCTCTCTCTCTTTTAATTATTTCACCTCCAAGCAAGGCGACAATGCCACTAAGACGCAAGGGGGTGAATGAAAAATGAGAAGACTTTAGAGCAATGATTCCCAACGTGGGGCACATACCCCACCGGTGGGGCTTGTTAATATTTTGGTGGGGGCATGCTTAGGATGTGCACCCTTCGGCTTACTATACCAACGTGAGCTCAAATTGCATTTTGCATTATTATTTCATGATTAAAATGATCAAAGTATATTACAGAATAAGCTTTCATTCAAATAATTTTATATTTCTGCCTTTCAGTTCTCTGTTATATGTTTTGAAACTGCCGGAATTCTCCATGTATAACACACCTTCATCCAAAAATGTTTCTACTCACGCATAATACGCACCCCTTGTTTGGTAATCAAACCCTATAATAATTTGTTAATATAAACCCTATACGGGTGGGGTATGCGTAGGATGTGCACTCTTTGTTTGCATTATTATTTCATGATTAAAATGATCAAAGTATATTACAGGATAAGATTTCATTCAAATATTTTATATTTCTTCCTTTCAGTTTTCTATTATGTTTTGAAACTATATATATATATATATATATACATATATATAACTGTCTTTTTGTTGTGTTTAAATTTTTCTCACTCATGGACACCATGATTTTTGAAGGTTTGTTTAGAGATCAAGTTAATGGCCTTTTAAGCTTCTTTCACGTGAATTGCAGTAAAATTTCCAATAAGAATTAAATTTTACGGGGGTGGGGTACCAGAATTTTAGAAATACCAAAGTGAGGCCCCAAAATCGGTTGGGAACCACTATTTTAGAAGGAACCGGAAACCCAATCCTAAACATGAAAAAAAAATGGATAGACCTCTTCCTCTGTTCGCAAGAAACAAGGAAGGAGTGTGAACTGGGCGATAGGCAAACCTGTCTACTCCTATTTTCTTCAGTATGCATCTCAGTAAATTCAGATTTCTTATTCTTGTTTTTATTCTTCTTAGAACTTCCTTGTTATTCACATGTTCTGACTATGGTATTCTCAGCATCCTTCTGTAGAGCCACATATCTGTAATTTTAATTTAAATTGTCGGGGATTCACTGTCAAATAAGAAGTTTGATACAGCCGTTCAGCAGTCTTTCCTTTGGTACTAACGACATTTACCTATCACTTAAAACATTACTTAGTTTATAGAAGATATTTCGCTATTCCCGTAATGCTTTGGCTTTCTGTGCCACATTTTTTGCTGTCAGTTACGATACTGCACAGATAATTAATTTTCTACCTATCTGCAACGGTATCAGTCCTTTTCTGGCATCTCGGCTTCAGTCACTTCCCCACCGTCATAACTCAGCTTCACGGCGTCTTTTAATACTAGATCGGCAGCTATATTTGTTAAAATGGGTGTTATTTTCATTTTGCCGCTTTTAGGCAACAATTTATCCAGCCCGCCGTGTATATAGTTCCGGCTATATAGCCGCATTATGTCACGACCACATTCTCGTAAGTTTGTTTTGATGTAAGTCAAATTTAGTTCCCGTAATGGTTTGTAGTATTACTAAGTAATATCATTTGACACCAGAGTCTTATTTTTTTTTCTTTTTGTTGTTTTATTTGTGGCGGTCAAAACACATCAATCCCAATAAAGAGTTTTTTTTTTTTTTTTTTTATCGGCACGTTGTTGTCAAAAGCGACCAGATATACAAATTTAAAAGCTTATTATCGGCTTAGTTACATGTCGCTATTTAGCGGCTATTGCACGAATTTTTTTTTTTACGATGTTCATTCTGTACAAGGCCCGAGAGCCACTCGAGGTAGAGACTTACAGATTAAGAGACTGGGTTTATGCTGATATGTGGGAAAGATAATGGTTAACCCTAGAGTTTTTTTTTTGAAGAGTTTAAGATTGTGATGGAGACTGACTCATAAAATATCGTTTTTGGGAAAGAATCTTTCAGAGTGGAACGCACTTCATATAAAGGGATATGTATGGAATGAGCATGATTCAATCCTGTCGACGTGGCATGGCGGATCTTGGCAGTAAAGTTCGGAGATGTTAGCACTAAAAAATGGAGATAGTCTGCACTTTTTCCAGGGAAGTAGTAAAACATCCTAAGCTGGTTCAATCTCCACCGCGTGTCGCATTATTCATTCTAACTAAACGCAATAAAGGTTCGAGCCGGGCCTGTTGCCGAGTGTTTCTTGCAGTGTGACCTTCAGCCAGACATTCCCGCTTCAAATCATATCTTTTCATCAAATGAGTTTCTTGTTTTTTTTCCACCCATTTCATTTTTTTTACCCTTGCCGTTTCTGTTTTCTTCCTTATTTCATTCAATAAATTTTCTGCCAAAATTTTTTTTACACTTTTTCTATTTTTTCGCCTTCGTTTTTTTTTTCATTTCTAAAATATTTTCTCTTGCTTTTTTTTTTTTCCTTATTCGCTCACTTTTTCCTTCCCAGTCTTTCATTTGTCCTCCTGATTTTTGCATTATATTCTTTCTTTCTTTCTTTCTTACTTTCTTTCTTTCTTAATTCCCCTTTCTTACTTTCTTTCTTTCTTTCTTTCTTTCTTTCTTTCTTAATTCCCCTTTCTTACTTTCTTTCTTTCTTTCTTAATTCTCATTTCTTTCTTTCTTTCTTTCTTTCTTTCTTTCTTTCTTTCTTTCTTTCTTTCTTAATTCCCCTTTCTTACTTTCTTTCTTTCTTTCTTTCTTAATTCTCATTTCTTTCTTTCTTTCTTTCTTTCTTTCTTTCTTTCTTTCTTTCTTTCTTTCTTTCTTTCTTAATTCTCATTTCTTTCTTTCTTTCTTTCTTTCTTTCTTTCTTTCTTTCTTTCTTTCTTTCTTTCTTTCATTTCTTAATTCTCATTTTCTTTCTTTCTTTCTTTCTTTCTTTCTTTCTTTCTTTCTTTCTTTCTTTCTTTCTTTCTTTCTTTCTTTCTCCGTAGACGAGAATATGATGATTAACAAGGCTGCAAAAACTTTCAAGTCCAAACTGAAAAAGGTTCGGGTTTGACTGTTGTTCACCACCCCCGACAACACCCCCACCCCCACCTCACCCCCACTCCCGGCGTATCCGAATCGGGAAACAGACGCCAGCCTCCTCCTCTTCCCCACCCCAAACGCAAGACTGATAACAATGATACACATACACACACCCGCACACGCACACACGTGTATGTATGTATGTGTGTGTGTGCGTGACTGATAACTCGACAAAATGCCCGGTGACTGAGGCGGCGGCGGCGGCGGCGGCGGCGGGGGTGGGAAGAAAGGCTGGTGGGTCGGTGGAGGAGGGAGACGTTGCTGAGTTGTTCGGAAAATTGAAATGAGGTTAGATATGGATAATGCAAAATGAAGAGGGGACGACGCTGATTATTGTGGAGGCGACAGTGTAATCATATAATTAGAGAGAGAGAGAGAGAGAGAGAGAGAGAGAGAGAGATAGAGAGGGTGAGAGAGAAATAGAGAGGGTGAGAGAGGTGAAGAGTTAGACTAGAACAAAGTGAGAGAGAAAAAGAGGAGAGAAATAGAGAGGGTGAGGGAGGTGAAGAGTTAGACTACAACACTGAGAGAAACAGGATAGAGAAATAGAGAGGGTGAGAGAGCTAATCAGTCTACAACAAGAGAGAGAGAGAGAGAGAGCGAGAGGTGAGAAATACAGAGGGTGTGAGAGGTAAAGAGTTAGACTATAACAAAGAGAAAGAGAGAGTGTGGAGAAATAGAGAGGGCCGAGAGAGAGAGAGAGACATATATTGCGTATATCACAATTGTTGCTTCCCTTTATATATATATATATATATATAATTATTTTTATAAAAAAATTATAACATAAGTATGTTATAAAATCACTACAAAAATAGCCATTTTGTTTCAACACACTCTGTGTCTTATCAAGTGATATATATATATATAATATTATAATTTAGGCTCTGCTTTTGTATTGAGCACTGTTTTTTTTTAAATAAAAAAATACTCAAGAACTTCGGATTATTTACCTAATGTGTTCTTTCTATTGTTCTATATATTTACACACACACACACACACAATTCTGATATACGCAATATATATTTGGGTGGGGTGGTGTTCAATCACTTGCCATGTAGCACAGCGGAGGTAGTTGACGATTTCGCACCAGAGGAATTGGTCAACGTTCGAACTCTGATAATGAGCCAATCTTGTGAATGCAGATTTTGAAGTCAGGCACGATAGAAGCTACTCACCGTCTCGCTTGTGCCACATTAAGATTAAGTGTAATAAATCCCACGTACGGACCCACCCACACCAACAAACTGTGTGGGGGAGATGTTCTCGTAGTTGTAATGCATAGTGCCTTTCGTAGCATTCACTAAATACGATTAGGAAAGGTATAAATTCCTCTCTTCTCCCAAACCCCACCAGCTATGGGTTAAATAGTAGGAATTGGGCTTGGAAAAACGATTGGTATCTCTAAAAATGTTAATGCGATATTCACTTGCAACAAAAGAATTATTCTTGCCATCTAAAAATATGTATCAACTTTAAATAAACCATAAAAAGTTGATAAGCAATAAAAAAAAATAATTCTGTTAATCTATCTATCTATCTATCTATCTATCTATCTATCTATCTATCTATCTCAGTCTCTTCATATCTAGCTAGCTGGCTGACTAGCTACTTAGCTAGCTTTCGATATATATACCTGTGTCTGTCTGTCTGTCTGTCTGAATAACTCTTCACACAAAATCCTTGTTTGTATGTATCTTGGGAGTGTCCCGGGTAAACAAACGCTCATATTGTAAAAATGCTATGAATGAGATTGACTGTAAATAAGTAACTAAGTAAAAAATGTTATTTTTTTTTATTTCTATAAAAATCTCCTTTAAAATAATTGAAAACTGAGCACTCTTATATCCAGGGCCCATTCAAGGGGTCTTGTGCTCCGCCCCGAATCTACCAATACCCCACCGACTCTACTCCATCTCAATTTTCATAAGGTAATATTCATATTAAATACAACTTTTATTGTAACCTAATAATGTACAATAATGGTTCATATGCAATATAAGTGAACAATTCAACTCGAAAAATTGAAAATTAATCCAATGTCTCTAAATACAAATTAAAGCCATAAAAAATCATTCCATATTAAAAAAAAAACAAAAACAAAAACAAAAAAAAACAATGTTTTTCGGTAATTTTTAACATCAACTTGAGATTTCTCTTGTTAAATGTTGAATAATTTTAACACATTCAACATTACGGATAAATAAAAAGTGAATTTTATATCGTATTATTTTTCGAGAGTTAAAATGAGCAAAAATAAATTCAAAGATTTGGACGGCAGAAAAAAAAATGGCCCCAGAATGACATGAAAATCGGTGAATGTTTTTCGCCAGTTGTGCTTAGTTTCATTTCTAAAGTATATAAAATGGAGGTAGAAAAAAGCAAATGATAAGATAGCGAAAGTCACAAAACACTGCCCGAGGTCCCCAGTCAGGTTTAGACCACCCCACCTCTTCGCTGGCTCGTAGTACGCACCGGCCCTGCTTATATACAATAAAAAAGGACTCTGCTGTCGACTTTGACGTAGAACTCAACAGTTCGCTATAAACAAAGCCGGTACACTAGCCAGACATGATTTAAAGATAAAGGTTGTGCTTTGTGCTCCAATCAGCGACACATTTCAGTACTGATAACAAAGAAAAGGTACGTCGTATGACAGGAAATCTCCAAACAGACCTCCTCAGGGTGGAATTCGGGATTTTCCTCCGAGATCATTTGCCATCCAAGGCTTTAGAGTCCAGCTTTCCCTGCTATTAAACCCATAGTTCAAGGCAAATGGATTCATGCCTTTGCCAGAAATATGGGCGCAAAGTGAAAGGGGTACAATCGACTTGTACTTGTACTCGGCAAATTACCGCGCTGATAACACTGTCCTTACATCCATAAATATATATAGTGATTTTCTAGGCGAAACAATCTTGTTAACCATTACACCACGTCGAATTGCTCATATATATATATATATATATATATATATATATATATATATATATATATATATATATATATGAGCTCTCTGGGGAGCAAGTGTGGGTTTGTAAACAGTGACTATTACGGCTAATAATGCAAGACTCTTTGGTAAATCAAATCGAGTTCTCTCAGTCAATGTGTGATATATATATATATATATATATATATATATATGAAGAAATATAGTTTTAAGTGTGGTATATTTATGGGATAAAGTGCTCGATATCAGGGATAGAGCGTATGTAAATATAAATATAAAGTGAACATTGAAGTCAACACTCAGAGGCGACAGACTGTTTCATGCGGCCTTATGATTGCGTCCAGCATGAAACAGCCTGTCGCCTCTATGTTGACTTCAATGTTCTCCTTTATATATATATATATATATATATGGAGATAGATAATGAACAGACTGAGATAGACACATAGTTAGATAAAGAGATAATGATCAGATTTATATAGATAGATAGGAACAGAATGAGATAGATATTAAGAGACTGGTGATAGATAGATAGATAGATAGATAGATAGATAGATAGATAGATAGATAGATAGATAGATAGATAGGAGCAGAATGAGATAGATAGATAGATAGATAGATAGATAGATAGATATGAACAGACTGATATCGATAGAGGAGGGTGATATAAAGAAATTTATAAAGCTTAGATTCATTTGGTACAGGTCTAAACGGGAGGAGGAAGATAGTACTGCGCCAAACTTTCAAGAAAACCCAACCTATTTAAAAGGTTTAATTTGAAAACCTAATTCCGAACCAGATTTTTACATTTTCTATCAACAACTACCTCAGCCACCAAACAGTAATCAAAACTCGCAGTTCATTACGAGGAAGTTCGATTGTCAATAGGAGCTCCCCTATGATGTCCCTGTACCAATCTAAGCTATTGAACAGGTCTCTCCGGCTATTTTTAGTTCAGTGGATTCGATCTTTACGACTGCGAGCTGATTGTTTGAACCAGCGGCTAATTTTAGAGTTATGCAAATGTGGCGAGACATTTGAGGAATTTGAATAATTTATTCCTAATTTCCCTGTTGCAAAAATCAATTAAAAAGAGTGATTGAATAGTATCGATTAAAGAAATCGTATTTGACCCCTAGCTTAGTGAGTTTGTGTCAAATGTCAAAAGGAAAAAAAAGTAGGACATTGAATAAATTTGCTTTCGGTGGCATTTTGTTATTTCTGGTTTCTTATACATAAGAAAACAACACACACGCACACACACACAGAAACACACATACATATTGTTTTCGCCTCAGTTTCATGTTCTTAGTTCTTTCTTTTTTTTCCCCTCGTTTTTCCTTGAGCATCGGTTTGTCCAATCACAAGCCGAAATACCTAATCGAACTGTCACACAGTCACCGACTGTTTCATCTACACAATTTCACTAACAAGGCTCAGGTTAACAGTCACTTTCCAATGGTGCAGCGCGCTTGAATCGCCACCCCAGGCCAATATTTTCACATGGTCAAATTGACAATGAACCCGGGGTCTCATCGTTCAGACGTTCTGACCACTAGCACCCCCATATATATATATATATATGCCTGATGAGCGGGAGCGAAACCGGTTGCTTCCCCCCCCCCTTGTTGTTGAGTTTTTTTTTATTATTTAATATTGTTTTAATATGTCTTGTAATATTAAATTTTACACTTTTATTTCGATCATTAAATTTTGTACCTACAAAAATATCTTTAAATATATATATATACATATATATATATATATAGTGTATCAAAAATAAGGTACAAGGATATTTTGAACCTTATAAGTTGTTTTGTTGTGGTACAACGATACCCTTTTGGACATATGGTTATACCAGCTTAAAGGCCGCCCTATCTGACGGAATTTAAGTTGGCTCTTGCAGAGGGCTCTTGATTAGTCCTTTATCACAATAGGAAGGCAGGAGTAGATGCAATAGGCAACAATAAACTACAGAAGAAATTCATCGCTTCATATAAGTATTGCATTAATATTTAAGCTTACCTTTTGAAATTTCAACGGTAATTAATTTAAAGACAATTTGATGTACGTAGGTCCTTACTTTCCGCAAGCAATTGTAAAAAATTGTTATTGTACAAAAAATCGTTGCAAAAATATCCCGAAAACAATGACAGTAACGAACAATTGGGAATCCAACATTTTTGCAACATGAGAGAAAGTTAGGGAGTTGTGTGTCTTTAATTGAAAAAGTGTGACATAATATTGCTTTTATTATCTAGATGAATATTTTACCTTGTTTTGGTCTGAGGAACCCGCTCCCAAAGTTTGTAAAAGTACTTTGGAATTGTATCTTGTACATTGAAAGAGAAAAGAGTGATTGAGAGACAGCAAGTAATGACAATTATCATTACGCTGGAGATTTCTGTATTTCAAATATTATTCGAAACTCAAAAGACAATATATATTCCTCGATTTCTTCTGTCTTCGCAGGCACACATGCTATGAGAGGCATTCTAGAATATACTATTATAGATAAAACGCTGGAAATGCTTGGAAAGTCTGTATTTTGCAATGAAGGATCAAGTGTTTAGCTTCAGTCTTTTAAGTCAAAGATAATCTTAATTTCATTCGCCATCCTAATAGAAAAGGTGTCTTGTAAATCCTTGCGCACTTGAGATATTCAATAACATCTGTTCCTTTCGAATATCAAACAAAATGGAAAATGGAAACAAATGATAATAGTTCGCCCCCCACACACCAGAACCCCCCAAAAAAAAAACAATTTTCTTATTTGCTTAACAAAGGTGATTTGTATTGGAACGGAGAAACTCCTGAATATTAACATTAGTGGGTAATTGAATTTCAAAAAGAAAAAAAAAATCATATATAAAGTGTTTCGACCTTCGAAAGGTCTTATTCAGGATAAATGTTTTTTTTTAATTTTAATTTATTGGTAGAATCATATATACATCCTTGTGCAAATTAATTGAAACAAAGCGAATAATTCCGTTAATATTTACTTTTTTTTCGTATTTTCCCAATGAAACATGACCCAGTGAACATGTTAGTACATCGTATGTCTATTCCATGAAGTCGTTCCTTGCAGATTGACCACACATTCTCGATTGCATTTAAATCAAGAGAGTTTCCAAGCCAGCCTATAGTACTTTGATTTGCTCAAGGCTTGCCAGTGTGTTCGTACAGCGTTACAATTTTCGTATGCTTCCTTGGAGTAGCGTCCATCGCAAACAATGGCCGTAGGACAACTAATCAACAGTCGAGACAATAATGTCTGGGCGTAATGAAAATCTAATCCAATCACGGATGACGGTATATTTTTCAAGATGAAACATAGACTGATATTACTGCACACCACTGCAAATGGTCTAATTCGAGAAAAAATTGAAATCGATTACGCCCTGTCACTCCAGTGGAAACTAAAGCAGTTGTTTCAATTAATTTTTACAAGGGTGTATTTGGTAGATGGGTACGAAATACAACAAACATCGATTGTGGTTATACATTGAGAGAAATAATGAAGAAGCAGAGACGCTTAACTTTAAAATTTAATTTAAAATTTTAATTTAAAATTTTTGGTTTCTGGCGTGTCTCGATGTCCAAACCTGTTTTTTTGGTTTTATTCATCTTGTTTATAAATTATATCGTATTTTTATTGCACTAGTTTTGTTTAGAAATTCTAATTTTCTACATTTTCGCCTTAATAGTTTACTTTGTCTTTTAATTAAAACTGCTTTTTTCAAGTTGAAAAAGCTGAATATTGTGTCTGGTATCAAATTCGCTTTCATTTGTCCTTGATGCCTTTTAGATGGTAACAGAACAAAATCGCAACGGACGAAAACCAAGCTGACAAAATCCAGCCTCTTCTCCCAAAGCTGAACAAAATCCTAAAAAAGGAATAAAAGTCTCATATGTAAAAAAAAAAAAAAAAATTTAACAACTGAAAATTCAAGGAACTTTTAATTCAAATTTTAAAGTCAAATTGAAACAATATAACAGATCTTTCTTCGATTTTAGGTTAATCCGGGAAATGAACAAAACTTTAAGCTCTTAATTCATCATAATCTATTTTCATATACGATCTATATTGTTTGTTTACATTTTGTCGTAAACCTTAGAAAAAGCCTTTTTTTATGGTTTTCGGCAATTCAAGTCAGGCTTTATGGGACACTAGAATTCGTTAAAGATGAAATACCGAATATGTAAATGTCATTGTTATAAAATATTTTTTCAGAGTTTGGATAGATTTACAATTTTTATAGTAAACAGAACGGACCCATAAACTTGTGGATTACCAGACAGAAATAGTTCTTTCTTGTACATATAGGTGTATATATTGCATATTATTATTAACGCCTCAATTTGAGATAAAAATTTAAATTAAAATTTCCTTGAAATTTCAATGTTAGATTTCTTTCTTTTTTATATGACACTTTTATTTATAAAACTGGAATTTATTCTACTTTCGTGAAAACAGGAATTGGATTTTGTCCGGGTTTTATATGTTTATATGTTTTTTTTTTTTATGTAAATGTGAACTTAGCCAAGATGTTAAATACATCAAGAAAACAAATGAAAGATCAGTTGGCTTGGAGTCGGGGTCTCCTCGGTGGGAGATAAGGTTCTTCCATCGTAGAAGATCAATCTGTCAGTCTCCTTTAAAGAATAAATTATGTTCTACGGGAACAGAATGAGACAGCCATAACAGATACGAACAAATCGAAATAGATAGACAAATAGAGAGATAATGAAAGACGGGTCAGCGAGACGTGAACGCACTGCGATAGACAAACAGACAGATCAAACCATAAATAGAGTACTGCTACCATATTTGAGCTGGAGTCGCTCAATCCTCTCTTTCAGGCCTTGATAGTTCAAAATCGTTCACGCGGTCTTGCTGGTGATGAATTGTTTCCCAACCTACAACCTCTTTCCTCACAGACGTAAATTCACAAGCATGTTATTTTGAATGAAAATATTCAGGAGCGAGATAATTCATGCCTATACGGCTAAGACTCGCCATACAATGGACCCAGAGAGGAACCATTCCCATTCCCTTCGGATTCCATTAGTGAGGAAGAAGTTCCATATGAACAGCTTCTTACTGCAAACTTAACCTCTTGAAGTTTAGAATCAGCCAATACGATAGATTTTCATCATCTCCAATTCTTACGTCTGTAAATAATTAATAAATAAATATAATAAAAAATAAATAAATTTGGTGCTCTACAAAATCTAAGGTGCACAAGTCAGCCATTTGTCCGTGCATCGAATATTGCTGCTACATCTGGTCTGGTACTTCTGTATTTTGGTCTAGAGAATCTTAACAAAATCCAAGAAGAAAAATTCCAAGAAAAATCTGCAATGTTACTGGTCTTCGTCTGGCATCTCGGATTCAGTTACTTTCCCACCTCTGAAATCTAATTTCCCTGTGACTTTTCTATAAATATTTTCAAGGTAATTGTTTTGACGAGCTTACCATTTTGTACCTCGAATTTACGAATTTAAGCGCATTACTAGATTGATAGTTAGGTCCCATCATTTTACAGTGGAAATGGATAGTTGTAAGTTCTATGCTAACAGTCTCTTCTCTCTTAATTATCACTTTATATCTCTCTTTCGGCTTCATATTTTCCAGTCAACTGCGATATTCAAAAATTTCAATTCAATTTTTTTAAAAATGACATATCTTTGAGAAACTTGTTGAATTAGTGATTTAAAAATATTTGAAAGAAATGTTTTTGCTTTTTGGAAAAGCGTTTCCTTTTTATGGATTTTCTCTTTTATTCCCTTCTATTTTTTTTTGTTTTACTCCCCTGGTTTTCTTGGAGAAATAATTATTTAATAAATCACAGAATAGCCTCTTAAAGAAGTTAGTTTTTTTTTTCTGCAAAAAGTTCGTTTTCAATTAATTCTTGTTTTTGCAAGGTCTCATCATTTTACAATTGAAATGGCTAGATGTAAACGCAAGTTCTATGCTAGCAGTTTCTTCTCTCTCGTTCGGTTCCTTGCTTTCACTCAAGTTTGATTTTTAGAAATGTAAAATGAAATATCAATCGTTATCTTCTGTCTACTAATTATCTAATTTGTTGTTCTCGCCCCTTCGTAATGTTTTTCTTTTTCATTAATCCATCACACTCAGTAACCTCCCTTGAGCCTTAGTGGCTTTATTGCCTTGTTTGGGCTGAAATGATTAAAAAAAAAATAGGTGAATACGAGAAATCTCCAGAACGCTTTAGATGAATAATGTGTGTGTGTGAGAAGATGGAGAGAGAGAGAGAGAGAGAGAGAGAGAGAGAGAGAGCTCAGGTACGCTCAATAGCTTTCACTCCCGAACCTCATTTGCTTGCTAACCCCCCCCCGCGCAACCCTCCGCCATCTACATGTTCCATTTATCTCCGTTTTTCACAACCCTCCAGTACTCTCGTTCTCCCGACCCTTGCCCATCTCGACCCTACCTATACAGGCGCGGACCCGCCTCCCACCACCTTTACGCAGAATCCTTCGCGCCGCCTCAACCGATTGTCCCCTCCCCCAACCGAACCAGCCCATACAACTCCCCGGCTAAAGCCTTAATGCGAGACCAACATGAACTGTTCCCAGTGTTCATACGTCGAAGCCTCAAGGCCCGGTGGTCTATTTTTAGTTTCGGCGCCGGGGGGGTGGGGGTGGGCACATGGCTCTCAAGATTTTCATCTTCATACCAATCACGTTTCCTGTACTTCTCCTTCTATCTATCTATCTATCTATCTATCTATCTATCTATCTATCAACCTGTTTACATCTATCTATATATCTATCTATCTAAACCTGTTTACATCTATTTAGCTGTTCATATCTATCTATCTATCTATCTATCTATCTATCTATCTATCTATCTATCTATTTCAATATGTTTACATCTATCTATCTATCTATCTATCTATCTATCTATCTATCTATCTATCTATCTCAACCTGTTTACATCTATATATTTAGCTGTTCATATCTATCTAACTATCTATCTATCTATCTATCTATCTATCTATTTCAATATGTTTACATCTATCTATCTATCTATCTATCTATCTATCTATCTATCTATCTATCTCAACCTGTTTACATCTATCTATTTAGCTGTTCATATCTATCTATCTATCTATCTATCTATCTATCTATCTATTTCAACATGTTTATATCTATCTATCTATGTGTGTGTGTGTATATGCAATAGTTATTTATTTTATTTAGCATCTGTTCCTTTTAAATTGTCAAGTCAGACTCAAGGCTTTGATTTATGGACTTCCAGACCAATATAGAAACCAGTATCAGATTTTCCAGATTCTTACATTCACAGATTTACCTCTGGATAAATTTCATTAAGTTCGTATCCATTGAGAAGTTAGAAGCGGAATACTCCTTACCTGCTTTGAAATGTAATCTTAAAAATCCTGGCTTTTTCTGGGGATTGAACATTGAATGCGCAGGATATCCAGAAAATACCGTTTGGACTATGTGGATATATATATATATATATATATATATATATATATATATATATATATATATATATATATATATATATATATATATATATATATATATAGGCCTGACGATTGCGTCTAGCATGAAACATCCTGTCGCCTGGAGTGTTGACTTCAATGTTCACTTTTATATTTATATTTCCATACGCTCTATCTCTGATATTGGGCACTTTATCCCGTAAATATAGCACACCTAAATATATATATATATATATATATATATATATATATATATATATATATATATATTTGAATAAAACAGACCACTTTAAGGTTCCATGTAATAAATTGCCACAGCCCTTTTAAAGGGCTCTGGATCATCAGACTTATAAGGTTGAAATGAAAAAAAATTTTTTTTTTCATTTTAAGCTTTGGAAGTAAAGTCTGATGATCCAGAGGCCTTTAAAAGGGTTGTGGTGAAATAATTTATTCCATGGAACCTTAAAGTGGTCTGTTTTTATTCAAATTTATTTGCTCTGAATTTACATTGAGCTCTCTGGATATCATCCTCCTACTCATACGGATTACCTAGTTTTTCATAAACTATATATATATATATATATATATATATATATATATATATATATATAATCGAATAAAATAGAATTGTGCTGATTATTTGAAGAATAATAAACTTAATAAAAATACAATAAAAAACAGAAATTATTTATGACTCTGCTATAGTGAAGTCATTGGATAAATCGAGGCACGCGAGCCAAGTGCGGCCCGTTTAGTCTTTCTGACAAACACGTTTAATTTTTATAAAGAAAATAAGGTTTCTTAAAATTTTATTTTGTTTCGGGTTCCCACAGTGTTTCGTATACAACCGCATGCATGATCAATGAACAATGATCAAGTCCAATGTTTCTTGAAGTCTGTAAATTTTCGGGGAAAGTATCGTTGTCAGCATTTTAAACTATTGGCAAATTTTCCTAAGGAAGATCACACGTGCAAACTTCTTTTGCTTTTAAAATAGGAAACGTCCATAAAAAAGTTTTTCTCTAAAGAAGAAATGTTTTCCTTTTCAAATGAATAAATTAGAAATAAATCACATGTAGTGATATGTGTTAATCACACTGTCATCTGTGATTATATTTTAGCTATAAAAAATCATTTCTAAAAGATAAAACTTTCCTACAATTTCTAAGGTATATGATTACACTTATGGCCTTTTGTAGTGAAAATAGCTGAGGTACCTACTGCGAAAAATGACCTCGGATCTTTTTAGTAGTGCTGCCCGTGAGGAGAATGCTTGAAAAAGTTGCCCATGTTTAATATAGAGGGCTGAGCCAAAAGTAGTCATATAGTTGTTTAATTATTTATATACCGTAAGTTTTTATTTTTTTTTACGTGGTAATGTCATAATTCAGAAGCAGAGCTAAATTTTTCGAATTGTTTTTTCCAACAAGATGGGATATCTCCTCATTATGCTTTGGCAGTAAGGGGGCTACCTTAACTAAATCCTCCAACGACATGACCGTATAGAATGACCACCACGTTCACAAGCATTAGCACCAATGGACTACTTTTAGAATACGTAGTAAAGAATAAGGTTTATGAGAAAATTCCTCACACAGTAGACGAATTAATAGAGTTCATCTTAGAGACATTTATTAATATTGATACTGATCAAAATTTGTATCACACTGTGTGTCATGATTCAGGAAAGGTTCGAGGAATGCTATAAGGTTGATGTGGGACATTTCCAACACTTACGAGATTAAACATATATAAATAAATACAAAAAAAAAAAAATAAATGGATAAAGCGTATACCTAAGCCCGTCTTTTACGGTTTATCAACCTTTTTCTAGGTAATTTAAAGCTGAAACATATTTTTGGATTGTAAGAATATTTTTTTATGTTTAAAAAACATAAAAAAATATTCTTACAATCCAAAAATATGTGAAAAAAGTGAAAAAAATTTCGGGGATGGTAATAATAATTTTCAAATACAAATCCCACTATTTAACCCATAGCTGAGGAGTAAGAAGAGGTGGATTCATAGCTTTCCCAAGGGTATTTGAGCATTGAACCCGACTGGAATTCGAACTTAGCTCTCCGATTTTTCAATTCCGAGCCATTGTTCACAACACCACCCGCACATGCAAGCTTGCAGCACCTGGTATTCTCGAGTGGTCACCCATCTAGAGTCAGAGTAGGTAGGTGCTTAACTTCGGTGGTTAGACGAGAACCGGTCTTTCAACATGATACGGCCGTAGACTTGTTTATTTTGTTATTCATTCCTTTACATAAACCAGGTGTAACAGCAAAATTGTCCAAATCGTGTAACAGCAAAATTGTCCAAATCGTGTAACAGCAAAATTGTCCAATTTTAAGCTTTGAACCTTTGTATCTTACAAATGATTAAAGATATCTTACTGGAATTCTCCGAGGTTTTTATAACATTATTGGATTCTACTTTGAGCAATGAGAATGTATAATTACTCTCCAAGCTTAACAGGAGAATCGTGATGAAAGCGATCATAAACGAAATTGACATGTTCATCATTAATTGATCATAGCTAAGGATCGGAAACGCATCAATGATTGAAATATAGTTCAAAATATATATATATATATATATATATATATATATATATATATATATATATATAATTTCTAGGGTCATTATCCAACTTATTCAAGATGATCTTCGCCCTCTTTATCCTTCTAACTTTTTGTCCTGGAGTAACAAGGTGCCTCACATGTTTCACGTATGATCTCATTTTCAAGTTTTTTTTGTGTTTGTTTTTTACCGCTCTTTGGACTGTCTTAGCTTAAAATCCTGTTTCACGTGCCAAACGTTTTATGAATTGAGTTGGATCTTTTCTAATTGATCTCTTTAGCTCTAAGTTGAAATGATGATCCCTCTTCCTGTTGTGACCTCCTGATCCAGTTTTCCTCTCTACTGTTCCTTCTTTTTTAAACTTATTCACCATTCTCTTGATGGTTCTTGGATGGACTTTGAAAATGGAAGCCAGAGTATGAAGATTGGTACGATTACTGAAGACCAGAATGATATTTTTTTCTTTTTATTGCTTAGCTGAGGTGATATGTTCCGAAAAGGGATATATTTGTTCGAAGTGGCAAAGTGGTTGTTGACTACTGTAGGGCAATCTAGAAGGTAACCGTAATGAACTGGTCCTCGTCGTAGTGGTAGGCAATAGGCGAAGACAATAGGCGTAGTCCTGTACCTACACATCAGTCTGTATTTATGGCTGACACCAGTCAATCATATTACTGTGACGGGGAACCCAGGTGAATGCATATTCATTATATCATGACAGTGGGGCTGACACGAAACGATTTTGATATGTTCTCTTTTTAGCTAAATAACTTAAAGACTTTTTTCAGTGATTCTTGTGACAAATAATGTCAAGATGGCTAAAGGTCTTATCGAAAATCTGGAAAAAAAAGAAACTCAGTTTAGTGTTTTTTTCGATATTCAGCTTTATGTGGGATGAATAATTTTGCTGTTACACGCGGTATATATATATATATATATATATATATATATTGAAAACGAGTGTGGCTCAAAGGTTTAAATACTAAAATCAATGTAAATCACCCTTTTAATCAAATAAATATTTATAAAGACATAAAATTATGAAATGGACAAAGTCCGACAATTATTTTAA